GCATATGAACTCTGTAAACCCTTTACCATTACCTGGGCCAGTCATTTTTCAACTACCTGGCAGACTGTCACCCTTCCCCGGGTCACCTATAAACTGCTCTATGTGTGGTGTTAGGTGGACGAATCGTGGCAAGGCTGGTGTCCAGGTACTTGATTTGAAGTCATGCATGGAAGAAAATAGTTCTTGATTTGCTGTGGAAATATCCCCTAATTCTTTATTAGAAAAGCAGTAATCTCCAAATCATCCCTCAACCCACCTACCCACCCACCCACTGAATCCTTGTTAACCAAGAGAGGGTTGTTACTCACTTCTCACTCAATCAGATTCTTGTAAGCACCACAATTTTAAGAAATCTGCATGCAGTTTCCTTAGTCGTAGCTGTTAAGCAGATACCTTTCAGCATCTACAGCATTTCTTTTTCCTTTTCCTTCCATTAAACCATCTTGTCTTCATGTTAGAAACATTAAGTTTGGCCTGTGTAGTAAAGTCAATAAGAATAGGAGCTTTAGGATCAGACAGTCCTGGGTTCAAATATGAGTTCCCCTGTTTACTGGCTTTGTGACCTTGGTATAATCAGGCTTTTTGAGTTTTATTTAATTTTTAAATTGTATTAGTATATATTCACAGTACATCACGATTACATGCTTTATGGGGAGTTGATGCGTGTACATAACACATCCTGATTCTTTTCATGGCCCCTTCTCCTCTTTCCTCTCCTCTCCTTTTCTTGATCCTCTCCCATTTGCAAAAGATCTCCCTCCCTGTTTCCTAATAGTTACCTTTTACTTTTCCCTCTGATTTATTTATTCTTTGGGTTTCTCATATAAGAGAAGCCCAGTGACATTTAATCTTGTGTGTCTGACTTGCTTCTCTTAACCCTACGGTCTCAAGGTGCATCCGTTTTCCTGGAAGTGATGCAGATTTATCCTTCTAGCAGAGTACTGCTCCATTAGAGTCCTACTTCCTACTATAAAACAAGGTAGTAATATACACACTAGGTGGGGCTAGTATGCAGATTAAGCGGAAATAGTATTTGCAAAACACTTATCTTTCCCTTGAATTCTTACTTTATTTTCAGGATTAAAATATTATTTTATATTTCTGGTACCAGGATGATTTAAATTTGTACTGCTGAGAATATATTTCCATTACAACTATTTATCTTTGTGAGTGGGCTCTGCCGTAATTCTATGCTTGGAGCTCCCTGAGTAAATCTGACTTTGACAAGAAGGTCTTTCTATTTTTTTTCCTTTTTGTTCAGATTGTTTCAAGTTTGTTGAAGTCTCAGGCCTGAAATGCAAACTAGTTGATGCAACTTGACTACTAATATAACAATTTGGATCCCAGTGTCAATTCTATGTTCATAAAAGTTTGGGAAATTGCAAGAGCAAGGACCCAAGTTCAATCCCCAGTACCAAAAAATTAAAATTAAAAAAAAAATAACAAAAGTTGGGAAAGTTACAGGGGTCTGGGCAGCTTAGCTCTGGCAGGACTTTTTTTGTAATCTTTGAAAAAATTTAATGGGCAAGCAAAAATGTATATATTTATGGCATACAATATGATGTTTTGATACATTCATATGTTACAGAATTTTGCCCTGGAATATTTGCTTGACAAGAGCCAGAGACATACTCAGTTGGACCCATGGAAGAGGTGGTCTCCAAGGTGGCGACAGATTTAGTCCACCTGTTACTATTGTGCTGGGACTAACTGATCAGAATGCTGATCCTCCTGTAACAGAAGGGAAGGAGTCCACTTTCCTGAGGCTCATAGGCTGGCAGAATGACTCAACTCCTACCCCTTTATCCCTGCAAGAAGCATAGAACATTTACTTCTCAGAAATCCTCCATCTGCTTCTCTACTGGATAAGGAATAAAACAAGAGTCCACTGAAGCTAGCTTATCTTCTTCCCTTACCTTGTGAATTTGTGCTCCTTAGCTCTTTTCACTTGGAGGGGAAACCTTTTTCTGGCTTCATAACAGGAATTAGGTGAGTAGTTTTTAATTGGGCCAATTCAGATTTTTTTCTTTTCTCCTATAAGTCCTCTTTTTCATTACCATTGGTTTCTCTGTTTTCCTACATAATTTTCTCTACTTTCTACCTGTATTTAGATTATTTTCCAGCTACCCCACACTAGAAAGATGTTTCTTGAGGACATAGCTCCCATCTTGTTTATCTGTTTAGGCCTCCCAGTGCCTGGTATAGAACTATTACAGAGTAGACATTAGATAATGGTAGGTGAATTAAGTCAAATCATTGTTTTAAAAATATCTTTAGTAACACTGACTAAAGTAAATTACTGTATCACATACAGAATTCCTTTATAGGCAAATCCTGTACCTTGTATATCTTGCATTAAACAATGGATGTTTTCCCAAAGATGGATGGCCAAGTGAGCTTCTGTAAGATGAGCACTAGTTTCATGTATTTACACTACCATCTGAGAGATGCTAACATGTGGGCGGCTTCTTCTTCCTCTTCCCTCTTCTTTCTCCTCTTCCTTCTCCTCCTACTCCCCTTCCCCCTCTTCCCTCTCTTCCTCTTCCTCCATCTTCTTCTTTTCTAGGAGGGGAGAAGGTCATCCTATCCCATATCTCTCCTCAATATAAAAGTCATTAGTCTGGACCAGGAATTTATCTCAGTGGTGCCACCACCACCTACCTCAAAAGTGCAAGGTCCTGAGTTCCATCCCCGGTTCCAAAAAAAAAAAAGTCAATAATCTGTTTGATTACAATATTTACTGATCATCTGTAACCTGTAGGAATGTTATCAAATCATTGATCCACATATCCTACTGCACATATTTAAATGCAATACTGGATTTTTGGGGGAGTGGTACTGAGGATCAAACTCTGGTCCTTGGCTTGCAAGGCAGGCAGAGGAATCACTGAGCTAAATCCCCAGCCCAATACTGGATATTACTGAAGGGAATACTATTGTAAATCAAATCACCACTCCTAATTGATTGAATATTAATGTGGCATTGGTTTTTTGGTTTGGGTTTTCTTTTCCCATGCCCCTAGCTGAATTGCATCACAACTCTTGGTTGCTTTTCCACCTTTGCCCGTGCTATTGCAACAGCTACCAAAATCAGGGAAGATTTGAAATGAGTGTAGAAAAGTCAGCTCAGGTCTTACTAGATAAGGTCATCCAAAACACCAGCTGCTGATCATACGTTTCAGTCTAATGCTCTCTCTGGTCCTGTGGTCCAATAATATAAATTAGGAACACAACCAGCACTAATCAAGAATAACATTCCTAATTACAAAAGGACTTTGTAGATTTCTCTTACTAACAAGAATCCCTAGTGCTTTTAAGATAGAAGTTACTAGACAAGCACTGCTAAGGTGATACTATGTATTGGGTGCTACGTTGGTGTATAGATGAACAAGAAAGATCTTTCCACCCTCATAAGGGAGTTGATTTTCTCATAGGGTAAAACCAGAACCAGAAAGTCACAACATGGTGCTGTACGAGTGCAGAGTTAGAAGTGGGGATGGTGTGAAGACCGTGCAGCGTGGTCAACTGGCCCCTCAGCATCATAACCCAGGTTTGCTTTGGAAACCTGATGGCTTGCAAGTGGCCATCAGTTCTTGGAGAGAATAATAACCTTTTCCATTTGTCAGGCTCAATAGTTCCATCTGGGGGCTAGGAAAACCCGTGTCTACCTATGACAGCTGAAGTTTAAACGGCGTCAAGGGCCGGGGATTTAACTCAGTGGTTCCGCGCATGGCCTGCCTCTTCACTCAAGGTCCAGAGTTCGATTCCCAGTACCAAAAATAAATAAACAAATAAATAAAAACAGCGTCAAAATACCAGTGACGAGATAATTGGTTAAGCGAGAACTAGGAGTGATCGCACAGGAGACGGGTGACTTTTTAAATAGGCCGCAGATAGAAAGCCCCGGTTCCTAGGTTCGTGGCTGTCCCCACCTCCTCCCTCCACCTCAACCTCTTCTGGTTTGGGGTACGCATTAGTCTGAGCCAGAAATGAGTCACGGCTTCCTACAACCCGGCTGGCACCACAGGATCCTAATGCACAATATTGTTCATACCTCCAAAGCTGTTTCCTCAGGTTCTCCACATCTCTGTGTCCTCCCTGACATTCAAGACCCTACCTCAAGTCCCCCTTTGTCCAGAAAGCATTCTCTGAGCCCACCTGGCTAAGGTTTTTATGGGCACCGCCCCACTGAAGTTCTACAGCCATCTACTAGGCAGGTATAATTATTCTCATGAAGAGCTTAAAACCTGTCCAGGTGGCTTCAAAATGACAGATAAGAGTAGGAAGCCCAGGTCCACATGACTCCAATGCCTTTGCCTGTAAGCACTTTCTCCATGATGTCATACATTGCTTACTTTACTGTAGTAGGAACTTGGCACCACTCAGGTGGGTCATTTTATGCGCTCATAGAATTAAGCATATAAAGTATTTCTCCAACTCACTGAAGGTTATTTAAGGAAAGAAATGATACCTTGTTCTCCTGTTCTCTTATGAGGCCCTGGAATAGACTTATGCATGATCAAGTACTTGCTCATTTATTATTAGCGAAGGAAGGCTTTAGTGGTTGAGTTCTGAGAATACGGGAAAGGAATTAAAATGTACTGAGTATCATACACCTTACTTTAAAGACATTATTTTATTCAACTCTATTTCGATTCCTTGTGATGGGTCCTACACACAGCAGCTTCAGTAGAGATACTTTGTTTCTTATGATTATAGAAATGGAATAACTGAACTAATTCTATACCCCAGATAGGTGGTAGAACAGATTCCCCACACATTCTATGGTTTATACACTATTTCTGCCACGCATAATTGGCTTTCCAGTTCCAAATCAGATCCACAGTTTAACCTGTTTCCAAATGGCAGCACTTTAGAGCACCCAGTATTTATTTTGTGAATGTGCTTTGAGAAATGTAAGGTCGGTGAATACGTTCCAAAGAGGTGAGACTGCCAAGTTCCAAAAGGGCACAGGCAATCCTTGATCTCATACCAATGAATGAAAAAAACATTTCATGGAGAAGGAGGAGGAAAGGTAGAACTCCACAGACCAAAAGCCTGGACCCAGAATGGATATAAAGCCAGAGGGACTGGGGCAGGAGCTGTTGTGGGGAGAGGCTCACCTCCGGCAGCTGTGGGAGAGACAGTTTATCCCCTACCAAGATGAAGTTGCTGCTTCTGTGTCTGGGGCTGACCTTATTCTGCACCCACGGAGAAGGCAATGGTGTCGTGAGAAGAAACTTTGATCTAGCAAAGGTAGAGTCATGGAGCACAGCAACTGGTGACTTTGGGGGTGACTTGGAGAGTCTGAAGCCAGGTGGGTCCTCGTGGACTGCAGAGTTATTCAACAGACGGAGGAGTGGTTCCAGACCTGGAACTACGAGAGCTGTACCATGTTAAAATATGACAAAGTTGGAGACCTCCATTCTCATGGCAGGGGCAGTGGAAAGGATCCCAGATGCTGTACCAATTAACCCCAGTGCCCTCCCTGCTCTCTTCCCACTTGACCATCATTTTATTTATTTATTGCAGATTTCAGGGAAGTGGTACTCTGTTCTCTTGGCCTCCGACAAAAAGGAAACCATAGAAGAAGGTGGTAGCATGAGGGTTTTTGTGGAATCCATCCAGGCCTTGAAGAACTCTTCTGTTTTCTTTAAATTCCATACACGGTAAGTGTGGCCTGTTTTTGTTGTCGAAGGGGAAATAGAAGCCAGGGTGTGATTTCAAACGTACACAGGGGCCTGTTCACACACACCGATGTGTGCTCACACAGACATACATGCGTGTGCTATGTCCAGAACCAGTCTCTCTTCCACACTAACACAAGATTGGATAGAACCAGGGATTTTCAAGATTCAGATGCAAGAACTGCTTACAGGAGTTAATTTATTGGCAGTGATGGGAAAAAGGAATGCCGGAACCACAACTATTGTGAGGATATGGCCTGGGTGAAGGCATGGGGTTGGAAATCATCCACCTGACGTTGAATCGATCTCTTATTAGTTTGCCAAGGCAACTAACTCAACGCCTTCTACCTTCACTTTTCCCTGGGTGAAAGAGAGATAATAATAATTTCCCTTCACTGTTTTTAGTGAACAGCATAGCAAGTCGGACCATGCATGTAAAGCATTTATTTGAGTACCTCGCAAATGGTGAGCACTCAGCAAATGATCTAGTCAGTGAGGGCGAATCTTTTAGAGACAAGTACCCAAATTGCAATCCAAAACCCAAAACCCACTTATTTATTGCAAAGTGCCAACACTGCAATGAAACCTGAATATTGAGGTTTTAGTTTAGAAAAAAAAAAACTCATACATTAAAGTCCTTGTCTAAAACAATTTACATTTGTGCCCTAAGTTCACCACCACTGACCCAGACAAATGGCTGCAGTAGAATAACAGTAATGGTGGGAAGAACTGGCAGAAGTAACGATGGGGGGCAGTTGTTTAAGTCTTTCTTAAACTGTCAGATTAAGGGAAATAATTGTAAGTAAAAGCTGTTTGGTAATTGTGCAAATAACAGTTCAAAGCCAGGCATTTGTGGTGCATGCCTGTGATCCTATTTGGGAGGCTGAGGCAGGAGAATCTCTGTGAGTTTGAGGCCAGCCTATGTAGTAAGTTCAAGGCCAGCTTGAACTACATAGCAAGACTTTGTCTCAAAAAAAAAAAAAGTTTGAAAGCTTACTAGAATCAGAAGCTGAAGACATGGGTAAAAGGTGAGGGGCCAGCCTCAGGGATACCTCCTTGACATCAGTTCATTCTCTTTTACAGAGTGAACGGAGAATGCACTGAAGTGTCTTTGGTCTCAGACAAACAGGGTGACGGTGTGTACACTGTTGAATGTGAGTACACTAAAAATGTTTTCTAAATTACATTACCATCTGCAAAAAACTTACTGAACCCCATTGTTTTCAAGACTTTGATCAATTCCTGATGAATATTTATTTTGGTACTAAAATGGGGGTCATTTAATAACCAACATCCTGAATTCTGGAGATGCGTGTATTTGCAAAGGCTAATACCCAGCACCTAGTGCCATCCGATAAAGGACTCTGTTTGGTCATATGAAGCCTCTGCAGCAAAAGGGAAAAGCAGAGGGAAGTTAGCAAACTGGTGGGATTAGCTTCTCCCTTCCTGACATCTGTGCGATCGATCACCTCTGGAGGCCATTGCCACAACACACTGCTCAGGATGTGGCACCAGACGCCTGAGGTCAGTAGACTTGTAGAGAGGACAGAGAGGCTGAGGGAGGCGGCCAGGTCTCACAGGAGATGACAGAAGGTGGGTTACCGCTGTGGTGGTTATTTTACACTAGTGGTCAGTCTCTCGGGACCCCTCAGACATCACCTCACAACCTCCAAGGGGTTGCAAATGGAAGGCGTTTGATGTCTTTACTCTCTGTCTCTTCCAGAATATGCATTTGGATTTGTTTTGTGGGATAGAGCAGGTGAAGGGTTTCTATGGCTTCCCGTGGACAAAAGAAGTTCTGAGCTGAATTCTGTTTCCTCCACAGATGATGGCTATAATAAGTTCCGCATAGTTGAGACAGACCCCAGTAGCTATATTATATTTCAGCTCCGGAATTTCAACAATGGGGAAACCTTTCAACTGCTGGAGCTCTATGGTAGAGTATTTTTCTGCTCACATTCATCATCTGGTGGGAAGAAAGGAACTCTGCCTCCAAAATGATCTTTCCAATCTTGTCCTAGACTATCTCTCTCTCACTGAAGATAGACACTTACCTTTGATAATCCCTAGGCTCCATGATGGGGAAATGCAGAAATCTCTCACTGATACCCCACTGATGTCAAATTCAGGACACGCTGGTCCTCCCCCCAAGTCTTCTATCTGAGCACCCAACTGTTTCCACACTCTTCCTATCCTCTGGTGCCCTGTTCCTTCATTCGCTTTGACAACTAATACACAAAACACAGCAGTCGCTGTCACTCTTCCCACAGCCCGAGAACCAGATGTGAGTCCAAATCTCAAGGAAAAGTTTCGAGAATTTAGTCAAAAAAATGGAGTTGTTCAAACCGTATTGGACCTGACCAATGTTGGTAAGTTTAGCTTTCTGGTTTTTGTTTCTTGTATTCCATTCATAGAAGGGAGAAATCCAAGGAAAGGTAATCAGCCTCCTTTGTCCTGACCTGGAGACTCATCTGCTTTCTCTTGGATAAAGAAATGGAGCTGCTGTCTGAATGTGTTCTCTTCTGCCTCTGCAGATCGCTGTCTCCAGGCCCGAAGTGAAGAGTAGGCTACGTGTTCAGGTTTGTGACCTCTGACCCTGGTGAGGAGGGGATGGACCAGGTGTCAGTGCCTTCTAAATGCATTGGGGGTTTGTGCCCAAAGATCACAATAGAAATAGATCGGTGAGGAAGATTTCGGGTAGAGTTGGAAGTTTAGAGTTGGAGGAGCTGGGTTCAAGACACAGTCCTGCCATAATGTGTACATCAGCGTTATTGTGTAGAGGAATAGCTTGTTGGACTTTTAGCTAAGATCAAATGTATTGTGTAGATGGAAGTTATAATGCAGATGAAAATGCCTCGGTGATTGATAGCATGTTAAAAATCACTGGGACTTAGTTTGAAATGGAAAGTGAGTAATAGAGCACTGCATATGAAACAAATATAAATGTACGTGAATCTGTATTGTGGTTCATTCATTTTCCAAGCCCAGGAGTAGGATATGTCTCGGTTTAATTGATGATGAAGATGTCTTCCTTTCAACTCTGAACACACATGATTTCTCATCTGGGAATGGAGCTGTCAACCTTCCCTTTGTCTGCCAGGTTTCCTCATCTGTCTCCTATGTATTGTGGGGCTTTATTCAGATCATGTGTATGAAAGTCTTAGAAACTTGCATAAAATAAGCATTTACTAAAAAGTAGCTATGGCTTTTGTCATTCTTCCACAATTTGTCAAAAATTCTTCCAAAACTTCTGATACTGAAGATGGCAGGGACAATGCTAGGACTCTTCGTTACTTCCCGCTGTCCATGGAGTCAGTTGAGGGAAGGTTCAGATGACAGCAGCAACCCCTTATAGCTAAAAGGCCAACAGAAGAAAAGTGATTAATTCTCTCCCCTATTCTGATAAATAACAGAACTTAGAATGCAAGATGAGCTCTTCACCATTTTTCTTTGTAGCAACACTCCTCCTTGTCCTCAGTTCAATCCCAGAAAGGTTCACTGTGGTTCCTGTGTTCTCTTGGTCCTTTGCGTATTTAGTGCTGAGTGAACGCTTCCCTACTTGGACTCCGGCAGTGCCATCTCATGACAAACTATGTGACCTGCTCACCGTGACTCTCACGTATGAAGGTGTCACTCTGAAGATCTCCAGATTGACCCTAATTACCTGAAAACGTTTATCGACTCACCAGCAAGCAAAGGCTTTCCCTGAATCTCTCTGATTGCTATACTTAGAGCAACTGTATACAAATAAGATCCTCCCCTACCTGTTCAATAAATAAGTAGCCTTGCAGTGTTGTGATTTGTCTTTGTACCTGGAGGGGGTGGGGCTGCAGTGAGTGAATAAAGGCACGTCCTGGGCCCTGCGCCTAGAATCCTCCTCTGATGTCTCAGAACTGACTGAGTTTCTGGAGTCTCCTCCTCTTCAGCCATCCTCTGTTATCCCATGTTCCTGCCAGTCCCACGTGCCCTTTGCTCTGCCTATTCTTTGGTGACCCGATGAGACCATTATAGATACCATACCAATAGAAGACGTGCTCCACCATTTCCCCCTCCTAGAATGCTCTTTTCAGATGGGGCACTGATAGATGTTACTGGGTCTGACGCCAGCAAGACATTGTTCGGGACAGGCCTCGTGCAAACAAGAATCCATCACGAGCATAAAAGTTAATGAAAAGAAAGGTTGTTTAGGTATTGGAAGCTCTCCATATCTCACTTTGCCCAGATTAGAACACTAAACTCAGTTCAGGCTTATTACTCCTGAGTCAAGCACTTGGATTAGTTTGCCAAAATATTGTATAAGACTATATAGAAGGCCAACAGGCACACTAGGACCTTGCTTTCTGTTTTCTTCATTTTCCCCATGAAACAAGGTCTTATTATGCTGTCCAAGCTGGTCTCAAACTCCTAGGCTCAAGTGATCCTCCCGCTTCAGCCTCCTTAGAAGCTAGGACTCTAGACGCATGACACCATATTTGGCACCCATGTGTGTGTGTTTGTGCATGTGTGTTTGTGTGTGTGCATGTGCATATGCGCATGCACCTTGGAAAGACTTAAGTAATGCAAAAGCTTGGCCTTTTTAAAGAAAATCTGACAAATTGCTCTAGTAACCCAAAGAAGTAAAGGAGAAAGCAGCTGCCTCACCACCCAGATATTGATTTATTCAGATGCTTCATTGTTTCATGATACAATAAAACCACAAAAATTTTCTTATGCAACGACAACAACAAAAAGGGCCAGGGATTTAGCTCAGTGGTTCTGCCACCTGCCTCTCAAGCACAAGGACCCAAGTTGGATCCCTGGTACAAAAAAAAAAAATTATATTCCAATAAACTTAATGGGGAAAAACAACAAATGCAAATTATCCAATCACAATGCCAGGCATTAAATTTAAAAATTAACTGGTACACAAACAAGCAGAAAATTGTGATCTCCTATGAGGAGGAGACATAAATTAACTAAAACTTACACAGATATCAGACTTAACAGACAAAGACATTGAAAAGTAATTGTGGGCCCGGGATTTAGCTCAGTGGTTCTGCCGCCTGCCTTGCAAGCGCAAGGTCCCAAATTTGATCCCTGGTACCAAAAAAACAAAAAACAGTGATTGTAACTCCAAACTACAGTTTGTGGGATCAAACACACACGACTACAAGAACTATTAAAAGAAGTCCTTCAGGCAGGAGGGAAATTATGAAAGTAAAACCACCAGAAATGGCAACTGTGTGTGTATTTTCTACATTGTTCTTATTACTTACATTTTTAAAAAATAACTGAATGTTAAAACAACATAATAATAATGTATTCAATTTTACCATGTGGAAGAAAAATTCATGCTGTGGACAACACAAAGGCTGGAAATACACTGTTGTAAGGTTTTTGTACTATATATGAAGTAATAAAATATTACCAAAAGGTAGGCTGCAGTAAGTTATAGATGTATACTATAAACCATAAGCCCACCATTAAAATAACCAAAGATTTATAGCTAATAGGCCAACAAAGGAGATGAAATTAAATCATAACAAATATTTAATCAAACAAAAGGCAGAAAAGAGAAAAGGAAAAAAATGAGACAACTGGAAAAACAAACAATAAGCTAGGTTACTGAAGGCTTTTACCTGCTGCCCAGGACCCACACAAGAACATCTGCTATGTCTCTCTCTCTTCTCTCTCTCTCCCTCCCCCCTTCTCTCCCCCTCCCTCCTTCTGTCTCTCTCCCTCTCTCACACACACACATACGCACACACTACCACCACCAGCGTGTGTGTTGTATCTCCACATCTCTCCCACTCTGCTTTTCTCCAGTTTTCCCATTTTTGCAAGTGTAATAAGTGTGAATTGATATCTCAGAGATTATTTAATTAACATTTCTCTGGCTATTAGTGAGTTGGAGAATCTCTTTCTCTACATGTTAGCCTTGGTGTTTGCTCTTCTGCGCGTTGCCTGTTAGTATCTGTTTTTCTATTGAATTTTCTGTGTTCTTCTTACAGATGTGCAGGAGTTCCCACAATATTACAGCTTGTCCATTTCAGGCACTGCGAATACCTTCTCGCACAGGAACTATTTATTAACTTTATCCATGATGCCTTTCAGTGATATTTAATTTTGATATAACCAGGTATATAATTTGGTGGTGGGCACTTATGTTTCATGCTTTTAAAGTTTTGTTTTGGAAGTTCTTTGTTGCCTCTAGTACGCAAAAAATATTCTGCCATGTTTCTGCCTACTCACTGTATAGCTTTAGGTCTATATTAATCAGCTTCATGTTACTGCAACAAAATACCTGAGATTTTTAACTTAAAAAGACATAAGGCTGGCTATTTGGGCTCCTAGTTCTGGAGTCCCAGTCCAGGGTCAGATGGCCTGTTCCTTTGGTCCATGGGCAAGGGCAGGTCATCGTGGTGGGTGTACATGGCAGAGTAAAATACTCACCTCCTGGGCCAGGAAACCGAAAGAGAGCAAGAACAGATGCCTGCAGGGACACACTTTCAATGACCCAAGGACTCCCTTGAGGTCTCACTCCTAAAGGATCTACAACTCCCTAGTAGCACTGTCCTGGGGAACCTAGAAGGTACCACATAGAGTTTGAAGGGCATTCATCCAAACTATACAGCAAAGTCTTAAAGTATCTGGAGACTGCCTTCGTTGGTCACATCAAATAGCAATCTAGTTTTCCCAGCATTGTCTACTAAGTAATTGGCTTTCACTTGTCGCCCTTATTACTACCTCTGTCATATATTAAGTCCACATATAGACGTAGGGTGGCCACTGAACTCTTTCGTGTGCCTCATGGAGCAATTGGTGTGCTTTGTACCAATGTTGCAGTCCTGTAACATTGTTCTGGTGGACTCCAGATTTATATTAGTATATAAATACATAAACTATGTCCTCAATTTTTGCTCTTGATCTGCAAAGCCTAAAATATTCACTATCTAGTGCTTTAGGAAAAATCTTTACTGATTTCTTTTCTATATTTTCACCTTTACTCCTAACTGCTACTCACTGCAGCTCTTTGTGCTGCATTTTACCCCAAATAAACAAATCCAACAAACTGACCCTTAGAGTGTCTTAAATAAAAAGAGCATTAAATTACATGATTGTGTGATTAAGAGTTATGTTTAAGTAGTATTGTTACTGTTCCCCTTTAAATATCACAAATAACTTCAGCCTCAGTGGAAGAAAATTAAACAAATATCAAATGAACTTCCAGAATAAATATCAAACCAGGACACCTTGAGGTCATTTTGGACTTTCAAGGACCACAGTGAACAGTCTAGATCTCTGTTATTGGCTTAGCAGACTTTGTCATTTGAATCGTTTATCCCAAGACAAAACTTTAGTTGAAATATCTGTCCCTGGAAACAGGCCCATCAAAATACTAGCTGATGTTTGTGAAAAATTAGCACTGCAGAAACACTGTTATATGGGTTTCCACAAGGTTACGGTGGATTTGATTTTGATTGTGAGAATAATTGGCAATTGTTGGCTGACCAATGAGTCAAGAGAGAACTGGTGTGTTAGGTTGCATAAAGCACCTGGCCCTGCTTGTCAAACCTGGTCAGCAGCTTTGAGAGCCATTACTCATCTACCTTAAGTCCCACATCCCAACACCCTAGTGGTGGTCCCTTCTTATCTACAAGAGTTACCTTCCAAGACCCGGTACATGCCCAAAACCACCCTCAGTATCCTATGTTTTCCTTCTGTGCACCTACCTGTGATAAAAATTGATTTGTAAATTAGCACAGTAAAGACTAACAACAATAAGTAATAAAATTACACAGTTGTAACACCATACAATATATATGAAAACTATGAATTGTTTATTCCTTGAACTTCCTGTTTAATATTTTCAGATTGCAGTTGACTACAGGTAACTGAAACCAAAGAAAGGAAAACAAATGGTGAGGGAAAACTACTGTCCCTTCATTTTCCCAGTTTTCAATCAAACCCGAACTAATCATGCAAACGATTTTCCTCAGACACCCCTGAAAAATCCTACTGCGGAACCTTTGATTTTGCTGACACCTTTGAAATACTCATCCCCCAAACATTTGCATGACAACCATCTGGCCCTTAGACTCTTTCAGTTCCAAATGCAAAACAGCTGGTTCCCACTCCCTTGGTACTTACTACCCTCTCCCTCTAAAAATGTAAATGCAACAACGTGGAGGAGTTTGTTTTGTTAACCTGAAATTGTGGCAAGCAGGACACCCTGCCCAAGAAGGATTAGAAAACCCATCCTCTTTCTCCCTTGTCTTAGAATTGTGTCTTAGGGGCCTGGGATTTAGCTCAGTGGTTCCACTGCCTGCCTTGCAAGCACAAGGTTCAGAGTTTGAGCCCTGGAATTGTGCCTGACTCACGAGAAACACTATCTAAACTTTTTGCTGTTATTTTAAAAATACATTTACATTGTCATTCAGTTAGCTAGTTGTGTCATTATAATTTTTGTATCTATCTTCATAACTGAGATTCATTTTAAAGTATTTTTGTCATCAAATTTTTATTTTAAGGTAATGTTAACTTCATAAAATGTACAAGAGAGAGAAGACTTCCACCTGCAAATAATTCAAATAGCTTTAGGGTGATCTTTTCTCTAAAGATTGTCATTCAAATTGTTACGGAAAATTTATCTACAAAACCACTGGGCTGTCGTCTTTGTAAACTGGTTCTCTGTTTCTCTTGGACTGGTCTTGGTGTGGTCCAGCAAAGAGTGGTTTGTTTCTCTGAGGCACACGGAAGTTGGAGCCGCCAGGTGACTTGCTTTGATCAGTGGAGACTGAGAGAGGTTAC